ATATTTCATTTTCTTATCGTTGCCTAACATTGTACCGGTATTACCGTGAACGGTATAATATGGCCCAGCCCTATCTATTGTGCGAGTCATTAAATGTTGATTCATTAAATGTTTCAACTACAAATTGGGTTAGAAATTATAGCACTGAATACCAGGTTGGCTTGTTTTTATGTACTGGAATGTCCAGCGATCTACCAGTCTTTAAGAAAATTTGCTATATCATAATACGTGAACAACATGAATTCATAATAGGCTGTACTGTCAACACCTTGTACTTTGATGAACACTTTCATGCAAACTGTATTGAAGAAAAGAGTAATGAGCATGCTATTATTTGCATTGACCAGCTCACCTATGTCAGACCCTTTGATAAACAATATTCTAATGAAAGCGAGAACATGTACATTAATCCATATTCTTACATGTTTTAGAAAATGTTTTGAAATTGTGTTGCATATAAAAATAAATGTTTTTCAGAAAAACATCGGCTTGTTTTCATGTTTTTTTCTAAAAGATCAGACCAGTAAAATTTACACCTTTTAGAATTAATTAGAAGATAACTCTTTTGTAGTTAAAATAAAATACTATGTGAGAGTATTTTATTACAAACCTTTAACACCTAGTTAGTGTTAATGAGTGTTGAATTATCAGCTCCAGACACATTTGATATTTAACACTAAATCAGAGTTAATGTACCAACTCTCCAAAAAGAGTTAAATTAACACTCACTGGTGTGGACCCATATAGACACTGTAATAATGTTGAAATCAAAACTGACAGTGTTAATTTGGGCATGCTGGATTTGCTGTGTATGAGGTTGTTAGTCATCTGAAGCCTCCATATCCTCTACTGATGTTGCTCCACCTCAGTTATTATTATAGCAATCTGTCCTTGCTATTTGTGTAAACATGCTACAGTTCAACCTCTGTTTATGAAAACTATCCTGGATCCCTCTGTTTTATCAATTTTTAGGCCTATTTCTAAGCTTCCCCTTTTCTCTAAAATTCTGGAGAAAATAGCGGGTTTTACATCAGAACAGTAATCCTTGCTTTTATTACAACTCAACTGGATTACTGTAACTCATACTTTGGTATTAGCCAGTCATCCTTGTCAGTAGCTTTTAACTGGTACACAGAGAAGGAAGCAAGTTACTCCTGTTTTATCCTCACTACACCGGCCGCCTGTCCATTTAGAGTCCATTTTAAATATTTTTTGGTCGCAATGATTGAAAATGGACAGCATCTGTCTCCTGCCCTTCTTCAGCCACTTTGGCCAAGCTATCTCGCAGTATATTAAAGCAGAAAGTACAGATATTTGTTTTAAAATGTAGGGAGTAAAAGTAGAAGTTGTCAAGAAATACTCGAGTAGAGTACAGATACCCGAAAATTCTACCTCTCTAAGTACCTCTGTAAGTGCTTCAAAATCTCTCTGTCATTGGCTTTCATTTGAAAATGAAATTAGAATACCAACATTTTAATATGCTTGGAAATGAGTGTAATGGTTTCATTAAATATTTTAACAAACGTTTGTTGACATGATGATGTATGTTAGAGGGCAGGACAGGAATTCTGATGACGTTTTAAAGCAGATGGAAGTTGTACGCTTCAGGTGTACGCTGAAATGCCTCGTACACCTGTGGCAGATCTAACATTTCTCTCCTGTGTGGGATGCACTGGTGTATCTTCAAATGACTTGATTGAGTGAAGTCTGTCCACATTCACAACAGGGCTTTTCTCCAGTGTATCTTCAAATGTGATAATCTATTGAATCTCTTTCCACACAGCTCACAGAGGAATAGCTTGCTGTCATCTTGCCTGGGAAGATCCAGCTGTCCTTCAGTAACATCTACCCCCTTCTCATCCTGAGGTCTTTTTGGGATGTTGCAGGTCGCTGAAACACATCCTATACTTGTGACAGATCTAACGTTTCTCTCCTGAGCGGATACGCTGATGATGCTTCAACGCTGATGAGTGACTGAAACTCTTGTTGAACTCATGACAGTAATGGGGCTTTTTCTCCAGTGTGGGTACACTGATGTATCTTCAAATGAATTGACTGAGCGAGCTCTTTCCACATTCATGACAGAAGTAGGGCTTTGACTTATATATGTTTTGGCCTTTTGATTGGCTTTTTGGGGTTAGGGCATCTTTACAGGATTCTCCTATAGGTTTCTATTCAGCTTTCTTGGAATGCCATGTCTTCTTATCTAATGTGTCAGGTTAAAGTGACTTACCTCTGCCACTGTCAGCATTTGGCTGCTGGTGTTACTCTGCTCCACAAATCCCTCCATCAGTGAATCAGCTCTGACAAACATAAAGATAATAAGTTAGGTTAGGTTAGAGGGTTGACGTTTTAAAGAGGATGGGTTGCTGAAATGCCTCGTACACCTGTGGCAGATCTAACATTTCTCTCCTGCGTGGGATGCACTGGTTTATCTTCAAATGACTTGAGTGAGTGAAGCTTTTTCCACAGTCATCACAGTAGTATGGTTTTTCTCCAGTATGCATATCTTGAAATTAGCTAATTGAGCTCTGCTCTGCTCCACAAATCCCTCCATCACTGAATCAGCTCTGACAAACATAAAGATAATAAGTTAGAGAAAATGAAAGACTTCTCATCCAAACACATAGATGAATAACCACATATTTACCTTAAAAATTTAGCTTGAAAATAAGATGAAATACTTAAAAGTAGCAATAAGAAAGATAATCAAGTTAGATATTTCAAATTTACAGACATTTTGTCTTGTGTTTTAAAGATAAACTGGACCTGAAATATAAATTCAGTTGAAAACAACACAAAGAGAAGTATAAAACACTGTGAAAGTCCTTTGATTTACTAGAACTACCACTGACCACCAGGTACAAATGAAACAGCTGAAGAAAGCTGTTTTTTTCTTACCCTTGGTATGCGAGGGACGTTTGTTTCGGTCCTGCTTAATGCTCGTCTTCGAGAACTCGGAGAGATGCACTGATGGTTTCCATGGTATCCAAAGTTGACTCCACTTCAAAAGGTAACAGAAGTGAATTCAATAATCAACACCAAATATTTCATGAACCACAAATCCCAGCAGGATAACGACCACCAATGTTCCCTCTAATCTGCGCACTGCTGGCACGGTCTCTGCGCACAGAAAATCTGCGTTGCGCACAAACAAAAATCTGACCTGAATTGAAATTAAAATAAATACGTTAACAATTCATTCTGTTTTGCAGTGTGAGTCAGTCAGTGACTGGCTGCTCCAGCCAATAATGCGATTCACATTCGTATATACGCAGCTAATCAGCGTCGTTGACAGGCTATGACAGCGTCCTTATGTGCCGACACCGGTGTTTTAGCTAGCAAAGCGGCGTGGCTGATGTGGAGTGAAGCTACGTTAATGACAACGTGTAGAACCATTGGAGATGTGAGCAGGACAGATGGAACAATTGATGGAAAAAGTGTGGACTTTATACCAGCTTTTGAATTGTGTTGATAGGCCACGTAAAACCAGAGTTATGATAAAAATATCTGCAATGTTTGGTTTTCTTCCTGAATACTATCGTTGTTTATATTTACTGCGGGAAGAAACGGTAAAAACGGCCTTTTATAAAAAAAAAAGTACTATGTCGACCAATCAAAAAATGATATGGCAACATGGCATGTAGTTGTTTAGGAAGAGGGAAGTTTTAGGAGCAACGGAGGTGTTTTGAGATGTGAGAGATTTGAGACGTTTAGTGCAAATCCTGTGTAGTTAGTGTGTAGTGTAGTCAGTAGTTTTGTTGTGTGCGTCAGAACAATGAGGCGACTGCTGAATGTTACAGGTGTTACAGGAGTGATACATCTCCTGCTGTCAGGCCTGCAGGTATCAGACTGTTCTCCTTTATCTCATAGTGGACAGAAATTATTTTTTGGAGTGGCACAAATAATTTGTGTGGCATCAAGTTTGATGCAGAACAGCTGATTGTTCTGTAAATAGTTTGAAATGTTTGTTTAAAAATGCATTGGCTGCATTTTTAGGTAAACAGCTGCAAAAAACGTTGTTGTTTGCATAAGTCAGTTACTTTTTTGAAGAAGTAACTATATAATTAATTGCCCAACATTGGTCATTATTTACTGTATTTTGCAGACAGAGTTACAGGACTCTCCCGGACCACAGACTCATAATACAAGTCAGAGCTTTATATAAAAAAAAGAGAAAAAAAAGAAAGAAAGAAAGTTGTGTTTTCAAAATTGGAGTTCGAGTTATTTTTGCTTCCAACAGTGTTAACTAGTGATGTGCGATACCACTGATTTCCTTTCCGATCCGATACCAAGTAATATTCAGGGTGGTATCGACGATACTGATCCGATACCGATACTTTGTACAAAAACTTATTTTATTTATTGTATCTCAAATTATAGCGTCATAATGATTACAGGGCATCGGATTACTTGTTCTTATCACTTAATAATGCAGAGTTCATCATACAGAAATAAAAAAACTGAAGTTGTGCAATATTTGAACACCTTGCCTGCCTGCAGCACTAAAGGACTCCGTGAGAAACGTCTGTCTGCCCTAGCAGTACCTGTCCCTCTCATCCTCTTCAGTTCGCCTCAACACACGCTCGTCATATTCTGTGATATTTACTCTGAGGTGTTTGACAAGGTTAGTGATGTTGCCACAACCATACATGCCAACCCTCCTGATTTTTCCGGGAGAATCCCGAATTTCAGTGCCCCTCCCGAAAATCTCCCGGAGCCACAATTCTCCCGGATTTCTCCCGATTTTCCACCCGGACAACAAAATTGAAAAACCATATCGCAGAGTTCATAGCGGGGCCCAGCCAATTCCAATCTCCAACAATGGCGGCAGCTGTTTAGTTTTAATATTACTCTTATTTCTCTTTCTGGGTCACAAAAAAACTTTCTGGTGAGAATGTAGCTGTGTAAACTTCAAATATCTGAGCCGATCGTTTTCAAACCCCCGCGGTCTTTCGCTACTCGGGTTAAAAATTATATATAAGTCACTTTGATAACTTAAAAATGTTATTGTTTGGCTTTTTTAGTGTTTTATTTGTTCGTGAGTAAATTGGTTTGGCTTAGATTAAATGTATTAGATTAGATTAAATTAAATTTAACTTTATTAATCCCTCGGGAGGGTTCCTCCGGGTTTTCACACAGCTGAATAAACATCAAACAGAAAACTGATTAAACAGAAGTGTGAGATGGTCGAGAGTTTAAGTCAGCGCCCGGTTATATGTTAGATAGCAAGGAGCTCCCTCGGTGGAGCTCATGACGTACTACGTGACGGCTTTCTTTAGACCGCGAAGGCCGGGTCCTCAGGTGGAAGCAGCCTCTGAATTTGGACACCCCCGCTGTTTCCGGGCCGGCCAATAATAACGGTGA